TGCCTCTCCACTGCCCCTGACTGGGGCCAAAGTGAGAAGGGGAGCGTAGAACTGCCAGCACCACGTATTTTTATTATTACTTCAACATAAACATGGAGAATTGCATGCAAAGTGTAGTAGGGAGAAGGAATGGTGAGGGAGACGGAGATGGGGAGGGGAAGGTGGAGAGGGGAGAGAGAAGGAGTGTGCTCCTCGGAAATGTGAGTGGGAATGGCTGATGTGTGGGCGTAAAGGCAGCTGCATTGGCTCGAAGTGGAGAAAATTGGCGCTGGCAAGTAGGCGAGGCAGGAAGTGGGTGTTTACAACAGCTGTAGCTCCTCGGCTTCGGTCGTGGTCGCGTCTAAGGCAGAACACAAAAACACCGGCGTCAACAACGCTCCAACGTGAGGTGGGTGTAGCGATGGTAGTAGTGGAGCGCGAAACCACCAACCGTCTCACTTGCGGTGGTGTCTTCCTCATCACACCACTGCTTCGCTTCATCCCACAAACATCCAGACACCCAGACACACTCCTCACCACACAATACACGTCTCGCCTTCTAGACTGACCATTCTCAGTGCTCACACAGCAACTCTGTGCACGTGCAAAGCAGAGGAATGAAGTGGCACCGATGCGAACGAAGTGGATGTGTGTAAAATGCAGTGCATGCAAGACAAATGAAGCTTACCTTGTGGAAGTGTTTCCACGATGGTTGTCCAAATGAATATCTCCCCTTCCCTCTTCTCCAGCCAATTTTGATCACCGTCCATCTTCACCATGTAGATATTGGTTGACTTCAATTTATCAAGTAAAAATTTGCTATTGCTTAACCAGTCATAATCCTCCTCCTCATCTTCCTCTTCCTCCTCTTCCTCTTCCTCTACCTCTTCTCCGTCGACCCCGATCAATCCATTTCCAAGTCCAACGACTTTCACTCTGTAGGGTGTGCTCGGAGCCAAGCCATTAATGGTAACTTCACCATCGTCTACGTTGGCCATTGCACTGAAAGTGCTAGTAGAGTCTGGCAATGGTACCGCAACAGCTATTAATACTGATACCTCCCGCCCTTTCATTTCGTCGACGTCCCATGACACACCAATGCTGTTGG